GAAGTCATAACGGCGGCCCACCATTGATACCACTTGGAATAAATTCAAACAACCAGTTACTTCGGAAGAATACTATGTTGATAAATATGACAACTATTGACTGGAAGGCGTTTGTATGTACTTCTGAATGCTATAAACGTGCACTCTGGCTCATTTAGGTCTTATTTAGAAAGTGCGAATTATGGAGCGAACTGGGAGCATAAAGTTCGACGCTGTGTTGGCAGGGAACCAACTCCCAGGATACTTCCACATCCGCAGGGTTTTGGGAATCCCAATTTATGAGCTATGTAGNAGCGCCACACATTCCGTCCGTCCTGTGGTCTGTCTGTTTGGGGTACGCCATGCCTCCAGTGTATACGCAGAACAGTGATCACCAGATGCAATTGGTGGAAGGAGGTCAATCCTGGTCGTATCTGACTGCCTCGGCAAAAACACCAAGTCAAGGATGGACCTTTTATCCCCAACTTTCCGCTTGAGCACATGAACATGCTGAAAAAGCGAGAGAGCCAAGACAGCCAAAAGAAGTTCTCTGGAAAACAAATGCGCTTGATGAGAGCAGATGTCGGTTTCCCAATCAATATGTGACGCATTGAAATCACCCAAGACAAGATAATATCCATCATAGGCGTACCTCTGTATCCTGGCCAACAGCTCCGGGACGTACAGAGCCGGTGTGCGGTATAAAACTCTACCTGTGGTATACGCTCAGGTACAAAGCTTGATTCTACATCACAGGGCTCCTCCAAATCCTTTCTGATAGGCGTAGTTCTCCAACAGGGGGACCACAGCGGACAAAAAGAACAACTCTACCACCGCAACGTGACGATGATCGATCCGATCGTAACATTGTAACCGTGGAGTGATATTTTGGAGTCCCAGACATCCGGTATCAGCCAGGTCTCAGTGATTGTAAAAAGATCGTGATTGTGGGATACAACCCAGTCCTTCCACTTCTGAAGTCGTATTTTTCCGTAATAATGATCTGAGACTCTCTTTAGAAATTCTCGTCCAGTCATTACGTCGGAGAATGCTTCAACTACCCGACAACGATGGTTTGTTTATACCCAGAAGACATATGGATCAAATTCATTTTGACAATCAAAGTCAGTCGGTTCCATTTCATGATGAAAATTTCGAGTCTAATAACGTTTCTTTAGATACTGAGCAACTCGATACCGTTGATGAACAGAATTTTGAACAAAAAGCCGTTACGGAAGGATTACCTGTGAATCAACGAGCCTTACGAGGATCTGAACGATTGAGCGCGAAGCCACGACTGGATTACAGAAACCCTGTAACAAATTCAAGGTATGGCGAGTGCGATGTATGACACTGACCTCCATAATTTTTTTGTACACTTTATATGTATTGAATATGCATAGTATACAATTTTATGAAGTACGTGTGCTATTCAATTTTGAAGTTGTTCTACTTTGGGGATCAGTATTGCGCGAATCCCGAAACTCTATTTCCAATTCAATTCAAAATACTAGAGTCCTTCAAAAGGTAATCTCTCTAAAGTAGAGGGCTGGACCGGTTGGTATCAATCGCACTATTACAAAATCTCTAGCAGGGTACCCTAGGGGTCTCTGACTAATATAGTTTGGCCATCTCCAAATAATAGCGATATATTGGAAATCTGAAAAAGAGAGACGGTAACGACTTCACATAAATTTGGGAACAAACATGGGACCAAAAACTACAGACCAGAAAGTGTGACGTCGGTCCTGTGCAAAGGCCCAGTAAGAATAGCAAGAAAGTATATTAATCCATTTATTCATTTGGCCTCATACCTAGTAAAGCTAGAGCTGTTAACGCAGCTCTATTATTAATAATGTTATTGTTACTAATATTATTATTAGGAGGCAAAATCGTGCTCGTCGACTCCTTCCTTCATGATGCCACGTAAAGCTTACATGAGGATCGGCATGTTGAGGCCTGCTATCTGATACTTAGCAAAGTCCCCGACTTCGTGGGTCATCAGAGACTAGACCAAAACAATGCAAATCCGGAGAATTGAAGGAAAAGTAAGATAGTAGAGAGATTGTATCCTAGAAAGCGACAATTTTCATGCCAAGATTGGTCTGAATCTTTCTGTACTAGAAATCATGATTACCGGCATACAATAGGTTTTTTCTGCAAGGCTCACTACTGTTCCTAATGTTTGTCAATGAATTACCACGGGAAATCAACAACCTGTTCTTGGTGTTTACGGAGGACGACAAGGTTCCGGGAACGAAAGTATAACACGACCTGTACACTGTTAAAAGTTGGTCCGAAAAGTGGGATCTTCCTCTGAATCTATCCAAATACTAGAGACACACCGATGAACTTGAACACAGTCATCAGATTTTAATTAATTTCCAGAAATAAAAAGGGGTTAAGGACCCAGGAGACATTGTATGTCATGATATCAAGACCTTAAGGCAACTTCAGAAGACAGTAATTGTTGCTCTTAGGTTAACTTTTCATCTACGTTCCACGGTTAACTGTTTGAGATCCGAGCTTCTCATTCCTCTATATAAGGTCGTAGTTAGACCACATGTGGAACGTATTGTGCGAACATGTGTGTCTTATTTTTGTAAACATTGAATGTCTAGGCTACAAGGACGAACATACAGGGAAACGAAAGTTTTGAACAGTGGCTTGGGGGCATTGATGTTTAGTGGCTGGTAAGAAAGAGACTCACAGGGGGCATTATCGAAGTTTTTAAGATTATAAACAGTTCCTCTGGGCGCAAGAAGGTACTAGGGGTATAGGTTAAGGCTGAAACATATTCCTGTACGGTGGATATGCGGGCTCTGTTCTTTATACATCGCTTAGTTCCATACTTGCGCAGTATTTAGGGAATTCTCCGAAATGACCGGTTTTTGTCCACAGTAATTTTCATTCACGAGAATGGGGGATAAAACATTTGCTAAAACTATAGGCCATTAAACCTTACCTCGGTCAAACTGAAGATACTGGAGCGCATTATAAGAGAAAGGATTGTGACACACCTGGAAAACCACAAATTGCTAAGACCTTACCGGTATGGATTCATGTCGCGGAGGTCCTGTCTGTCTAACCTCATAGTGTTTCTCGACGAGGTAACAAATGGATTAAACAGGGAAAACGGAGTGAAAATGTGCTACCTAGACTTCCAAAAGGCCTACAATTTAATGAATCATGGACTAATCGCTCGGAAACTGAACGCATTCAGGATAACACAGAATTAAGCGGTGAAATACTTGAAGGAGAGAAATTTACAGTATCTGCAAGGGGAATTTGCTCCGCTAAACCCAGCGGACGCAGCGACAAGCCGGTGTGGTAAAAAACAGTGATCATTAAAACCGTCAAAAAGCGAACTTTAGGGACTCCG